AAAATTACAGGTTCTATTACGCTGCGTGGGGAGGTTTTATTTTCGTTTGAATGACTTCAATTAGAATGAGTGTGTTCTGTGTGTCTGAAAGGAAGCCTGGGAAATATGTATATAAGCCTACGTGTTTGGAGAAGGCTGTGTCAAGTAAAAAGCCTATAATTGCTCATCAGTGCCGTAGAGCTGAGTAAAATCTCTGCACTGAAGCTCTACCAGGAAATTGCAGTCATATAACATCTGCTCTGTACTCAGGGAAGGGAAACATTTGAAGTGAATTGTAGAGCTTATGAAATATGCCGGTTATGCTGTTCTCTGATGGAGAGCATCTTACTCACAGCTTGGCGTTTTGAATGTGCCACTGGGAGCTACTCCTTATCAGGGTGGAGCTGTGAGTGGCTACATTGAAAACCAGGCTTGACTACTAGGGCCCTTTAGTATAAGGCAAATTCCTGTGTTCCTATGATATCTTGCTGTGAGTGAGCTCTCAGACCAACCACCACAGACAGTACTAAAAAGAGACTAGTGGAACATTTATGCTTACACATTTGGCTGTTGAGTCTACAGGTGGTGTGCTTTTTTAAAAAAAAAAAAACCATTGCATTTATATCTCTTCCTTGCTCCAAAAACCTACAAAGCAGAACATATGTGCCTCTTTGCTATTTTTGTCCTCCCAGCAGCCCGGTGAGGTAGGTTAGACTGAGAAGTGAATGGCCTCCAGGGTTGCCCAATGATCCTTGTGGCTGAGTGAGAGATCTCTATCTGAGTTCTCCCCATTCCTGGTTCTGCACATTGTATATTGCATCTTCATTTATTCTTCATTAGTGATCCAGTGCATGTGCGAACCAGCCCATGGAGAACCATGAAAAAGGAAGAGAGAGTCAAACCGTTACCATCACATTAAGGGAACAGCAGGGTTATACTGCTTGACTCCATCCCATTCACACAATGGCTGTGCTTTTCCCAGGCTCTCAGCTTACATGTCCCATGAGCCACAACCAGCACAGCTAAAATGAAGAATACTGCAACCCAACAGCATCTGCAAAGCCAGGTTAAACTTTTCACACTCCTGGTCTACAAGCTTTCTATGTGACCCTAAACTTTTCTGACTCTTCCCCCCCACCATCTATGGAGGGTAACAGTAGGACCGACAGAGATTTATGACCGAGGATAAAACTAGCAAGTACAGTTCACTCGTGAGAGTGGATCATTTCAAAAATGCCTTTGTGTTTCCTTTTGTGTGTGTGTTTCATTGCAGGGAAGATGGAGCTACTATGGCTGCCCATTCACTTTGTGTGCTTCTTCTTCAAACCATGCCCACATTTTGTACCTTAAGGAGAAATGAGAAAAGGAGGAAATGCTTACTTTAGACTTCCTGTTTCCTCTGCTTATGGAAGCTGTTGCTAGAAATCTCTGACAAAAAGGAAATCCAGTTGGCCCTACATATGGTGGAGTGCCAACGCATCTGTACGTAGCATTCAGCTGAACCCCCTTGTTCAATTACGAGTAAGCACTGTGGTCCCAACCTGGGTTGAGAGACTTTGAACCTCCCTCCCCAAACCATTTCTTTCCTTAAATTCTCCTCTCACTCAGCAAATAAGGGCCAGCTACTGGTGGAGGGAGTGTTCCCTGGGATCAATGAAGGGAGGATTTGCCCACTGAAGGAAAAGAAGCAAAATCAGAGTTTCAAAACTTTTGTGTGTTGGGTGGGGGTTCCAATCCAGATTGAGTGGCTGTCTCTGCACACTTACCTGCAAGTAGCAAAAGGAAGCTTGGTCACACACTCCCAATAGCATACAGTTTAACTGTGAAGCAGCTGCCACAGGCAGCCCATCTGTGGTGTCCTGAAAGGTCGCCAAACTATTGTTTATTTACTATTGTGTTTTTACTGCTAGAGTTGGGGAGAGGTGCCAGAGGGATCCTCTGCCCTAAGGTGACAGAGTAATGTGCTAACTTTGAGTATGAAGCATCTTGACTTTGAAGAGGGGCTTGTGCTGTTCTGACTCAGGCAGCAAAATGTCTTTCAACAGCTTCAGAGAAACAAGCATCCACAACTTACCAGGACAACATGTTCCATTGACCAGGACTTAAGATGCATTCCCTGATGACCAAAATTTGTCACACTGCCATTTTTAATACAGCCATTCCCAATCTGGTGGCTTCCATGTTTTAGGCTTCACTTCCTATAAGCCATAACAACTGACTGTCCAAGCTGTGAATGATGGGAACTGTCGACCGAAACATGTAAAGGTGACAAGCTAAACATTCTGTTCATTACTTCAAAATCAAATCCCTGACAAATCAATGATCTCATTCTTTTTTTCCTTTAGGAAATTATTATTACACCAGCTTTTCAAAATGTCCCACATTTCACAAACCCTTCGTTGTCTTTCAGAACTTACTTGTGCCGTAAACACAAATACACAGCAAACTTTCTGACATTTCACAGATGGCAATAGGAGTATTTAAGTGTATTTTCATTCTCAGGATCACTGCCTGGCTGAATATCAGCCAGGAAGAGCTAGAAGGAGTGGGAAAGGAAGAAGAAAAAGAGTGGGGAGGATTCTGAGTAGTAAACTTCTCAGAAGACATTTGATTTGATCTGCTTGAGTAGAACCACCTCCTTCTGATGTGGCTCCATATCAGCACTCTCCAGTTTCTGGAACAACTGGTGCTGCCACTAGTGTAGGAACTCATTATGTTAATGGCTCATCTCACATCATCTCAGAATCTGCGATGACCTCTGAAAGAAGGGCATGAGCTGGAGATGTTTCCCACCAGGGCATAAAGTTAACTAGAGCAATAATAATACTAAAGTGTAGATTGAGTTCTCTATGTGGCCCTGTCACCAAATTTTTTCCTGCATTAGAGGAGACCAAATGTGTTAGCGAGTCTCATATGAACCAGAAAGGATATAAATCCTGTATTCTAAAACAACAACGACCCTGTGATTTTGCATTCTAAAATCCAGTATTAATGGCAACTGATCTATAACTGTTATTTCCACCGGCATTAATTTATGGATTATGTTGCCCAATGTAAATATATATGTGACTGCATTTGATAATGAAATGGGACTTTGATCACTTTGGTAATTAAATGTGGCTATAAAACATTGAAACATTTATGCACCATCCTTGCTTGGTATGTCAATGTGCGACCAGAAAGGGTTGGCAGGGTCTGCAGGCTCTACTGCACTGCCTCAGGAGGTCAACGGTGGTTGATGGCACATGTTAAGATAAATAACGTCAGGACCCCATGCATCTGCTTTCTACAAGATTGGGCCGCTGTCCTTGCTCCAGCCCTTCCACCAGCAATGCCACCGAATGGCACCATCACATTTCCTTTGGCGCTATTCTTCAGGAGTGGCTGAGGAGAATGCAGCCTTCCTTTCTAGACCATATCTCCTAATGGCCATGGTTGTAGAGGAATTCTTAGTATGTTTACAACAGTAAGAATGCAAAGCTGGGTCACTACTACTACTTCTTCAGGGTGAAGTTGTGTAGCATTTGTACATTTCCTCAGCCTTCAAATTGTAATTTGTTGTCTCTGAAAATGCCTAGTATTTCTTTTTCCTTTCCCATCCCTGCCCTCATGACGGGTTAGAAGTGTGATGCATGCCAAGAGTGTGAGCATGCCAAGGACACAGATAAGCTATCAAGGGGAGGGGAGGAAGAAAAGAGAGAGACTATGCTGTATTTACTGTCACCACCATATTGGGCATGAGCTCAGTTCTTTCAGAGCATTGGGTTTTTAACATTTTCCACTTTCACATTTTCAAGTTGGCTAAGGAGGCATGCCCTTGGCTATAACAGATTTCTTTAATGTTGCAGAGGAGTCTCTGGAGCTTATTTTAGAGTGAACACTCAATTCACAAGTGGGACTGGACAAGTCAAGGTGGACATCAGCTTAGGACTCTTTGGCAACTGCTGGGTCCCTCACCCCACCCTGCTGACACCTGTCCTGTTCCCACTTTGTAAAATCCAGTCCATCTTTCTGAGGAGTATTGTGCATTTGGACCTAGGTGTCATATTAATAGTCTTCACTGACCCAGTCATAGCATCCTCTTGGGGCACTGAAAGAAATTTAAATGTTACTTTTTTAAAGATGTTAAGACATTCAGCCTCTCATGCTTCTTGTATTGCTACTCAGAATGTTGCTGACACCATAGATGCCCCCATGAGTCCCCTACATGCTTCAGCTCCCTTTGTACTAGCTGGTTAGGTTCCACCATTCCTCAGGGTTAGCTGAGAGCTCACCCTTTTAATGCAACCAAGATTCACTTCTGGCTGCATGTTGGAGGAGAAGGTTAGTAGTGGTGGATACAATGTTTTTTCAAGAGCATTGGTGTTTTTTCTGATTTGAAAAAAAAAGCCTTGATAAGTGGTTGAGAAAGTTTGGCATTCTGAGGAGCACTACCAGGAAAGCATTTGAGAAAGCAGCAGGAACATTACTGCTTCTTTTAAAAATGCACTAAGATAAACAGAAATCAAGACCCCACATATCTGTTAGAGATGGAGTTGTTGCCTTATATCCAACATAATGCCAATGGAGTGACTATCTGTTTACTATAGTTGCACTATTTTGTAATGTTGTACAAGCCATCATGCAAGAGGTTGCCCAGAAGACTATGCATTCAGTCACATAACCCCTTGTGGACTTGGCTGTGCACCCCTCCCCTAATTCTGCAACTGCTAGCACAATGTGTCTTGTGCTTATATCATGCTGGATAAAAGCCAATAACATCTGTATCAGGGCTGAGGCTTTGGGCTCAAACTCTCATTAGCCTCAGCCAGTGTAGCCAAAAATCAGGAATTGTGAGACTTGAAGTCCAACAACATCTAAACACCTTGATGACTCCCTGCCTTGGTCTAGATATAGTGTCAGTTATATACATAGTAATTTACAGGATAACATAAGCAAAAAAAAAGGTAACTGCCCAAAGGACTTAGAATCCAAGGATTTAACGTTTATTCAGCAGTAACAGTCTGAATTTGTTTCACGCATTAAAAAAAAAAGTATAGACATTTGGCAATATGTACTCAGGCTTTCCATCCACTTTATTCTACTCATTGTAGTCACTTTTTCAGCAGGACATTTATTACACATTGTGAAAACATTCTTTCAGCATAAATGTCCATAATGACTACCTTTAACAACTGTTTTATTACAAATGGCTACTGTCGCCTTTCTGATGTCCAGACCATTTCTGAAGTAATGTGTGTGCTAATTTGGTGCTATTTTGTTATGAAAGGCATGGCTTTCTTTGTGTAAAACCTCCCGCCCCTGTTCAGACACTCAAAGAGCTTATGAAGACATTGAAAATGCTCAGCATACACACATAAGTGAAATATTTTAATGTCAATTCGTATTCAAAGTTACATTGTTTACATAGGGTTCATTTGTATATAATAAAATTTAATTTTAAATGAAAAGGGGCTTTTCCTTTTTTCCCTTTTTTTTGGCAAGACTGTTAAACAAATTAACACATGCTTTGGATGTACAGCTTGAGAGGATTGTAATTCTACAAAATCTTCCACAAGAAAGATTGCCCTGTAAGAATTACAAGGCCTTCATTTCTGAAGAAGTAATCACAATTTAACAATAGTAGCTGAAATTCAGCTGTGGATGGGATGATGCTGAGATCAGGTATTCTAAGAGAGTGGATTATTTATTTATTTTAAATCTGTTAAGTGATTTTCCTCATTGCATAGTGAACATGTAAACTTAGTAGGGATCATTAGGCTAGCATCACTTACGGCATAACATACTGTATTCCTTAAGCCTTCCTAAAATGATGGATAAAATATTCTAGCAGGAGTGCAATAAAAACAGGAGCCACTGGGGAAAAAAACATTAGTCAAGCAGCAGAAGGTCTCTTTCTCTCTGGTTGCTAGAAAACTATTTTTAGTGGGGGGATTCCCAAAGTTTAATTCTTAGGCCACTAGGCAAAATTACATAGAAATGTATGCTGAAAATCAACAGGATTGTGCCCTTTCTTGATAGCAATTCTTATCTGTATCAACTGTGTAGGGGGTTGGGGAGGAATGAGAAAATAAGGAAATGAGAAGCAGGGAAAATACCAAGGATATCATTTTACATTGTGCAACAGCCTCTTTCATTTGGTATATAAAACACTGGGTGAGATGCATTTGTTGCATCATTTTTGTTAAAAAGCATTAAATTAATTCCAACAGTTATGTCTGTATTAACTAGGTTTGCATCAAGTAAAATGTTTATTAATGAAACTACTGTACAAGAAACATCAAAGCGAAATGCATCATACAGAAAAAGTACACTCTAGGTGACAGATGAAAAAGTGCATGCAGATTGCTTAATTTTTTTAAAGTCAGAAACAAATAATACTAATCTTGATCCCTATTACCTTGAAGGAGTGAGAATTTTCTTCTCTGAGTTTACAAAAATGCAATTGAACATATATGACTAATACACATTGGCAAGCAGGATGAATTAGCTCTGTTTTTAGATCTTATTTTACAGATATTTTTGCTTGGCAAATGTGGGTTTAAATAAAAGAAGAACAAGAAGAAGAGGAGGAAGAATCTTCTTAAATTGAACTGAGTAGTACTGCCAGGTTGCTCTGATGTCATACACAGCCTTCAGGTTTTTAGTTAGACAGCGTCAGATAACATATGTTGTGTTAACATTCAGGTAATGACATTGAGTCTTTTTTTTTTTTTTTGAAAATTATTTTTGGCTCAATAAATTTTAAATGTATGGTTTATCATAACCTAATATTGTCTTTGTCTTCACTGCAGTGGATTTCCGATCAAACTTTCCCCTTCTTTTAATACTTTAGGGAATTTTCAAACGTCGGGATGTTTGGCTGTAATGCCCCAAGATTTGTTCTCCCTGAAAGAAATCATAGTGACAATTTATTAAACTACAGAGCAACCTGGCTTTTAGGGGTCTGTACTTTTAGATTGTGTTCAATATACCTAACAACTAAACTGTGATGCACTTCACCATAATTATTTCTAATATTTTTCATGCAATTACCTCCACTCTAAATTGGCTGGGGTTTGAGTTTGGAGTATTTTTCATTTTTGAAATAAACCTATAATCCTGACTCTAAACATGAAAGGAAACAATCCAGTAAAAGTCAGTTGTAATCAAGTTCCACTAAATGAAATGGGGTGGAACTGAGCTGTTACTAAGTTAAGTCCCATTTGTTTCAATGAGACTCAGTTTTGACTAACTTTTTGGATTGTATCCCATATGATTTGGAAATAGCTCCCATTGACTTTCAGTGAAACACAAACTTCCAAATAATTGGCTCTGATCCACCTAAAGTTAGTTGCACTTGCTTTCAATGGGATGCAAATGTTAGTCACAACTACCTTGCCCAATTTCTTTCAGTGTGACTTAAGGTGCAACTAATCTTCACTGGATCAGAGCCATAGTATTCAGCATTGCAACCTATGACAGGGTTGTGGTAACAAATCAGTGGGGCATTACATTTCATTAAAAAAATAGAAATCTGAAACTGCATCATGTATATGTAATATGAAGCAAAAACTAGAAATAAACCTATTTTGTAATTGTGATAACACTCCCATTAACATATCCACCACCACACACTCTCACACATAGTAAAAAGAACACAACACACTGCCACGGTTAAGACTCCAATTTTTAAAAAGAAAAAATGGATGGTAAATAAAACTCCTTCAATTCAAAATGGTTTATTCACACAAATTTAATAGGATATATCACAATTGTTTGGTCCATAAATATTTAGGGGAAATAGTTTCTATACAATGCATTTCTCAATAAAACAAAGAAACATGGACAAGTTTTCTAGACCACTTAACTGTACTATAAACACGAAGCTCAATATATAAGATTATTGATCAACTATATCCGAAAGAGTGCACAACTGCTTTCTATGACATGTTTGTCCCCTCTACCAGGATACACCATAAAAAGAGTTTCAGAAATAAGAGGTAAAACAGTACAAAACTAGTGAGGTGTCAAAAGGGCTTAAAACAGTTAATTTAACAAACAACACATATATATCCTGATTTTTTTTCCACAAGCTCACTCCAAAGTTATAGCATAAGGCACATTGTAGAACTGAGTTATAATTAGTCTACTTAATAAAGTAGATCTATAGTACCATATAGTTGTTCTGTCAAAGAACAAAATTTATATGTATCAATATTTTTGTACCTGTAAAAGTGTAGTAATAAAGATCTCAGCCTTTCCAAGGTTGTTTGGTCTGGTTAGTGGTAAATGCCCATAAGGTTATAGAAACAGGGAAAAGTCCAAGGTTGGCACCTCAATCCTAAATGTATGAACTTGGAAGTAAATTCCACTCATCAATTGAACTTACTTCAGTCTAAATGTGCTTTAGGTCAAAAGCCTTCATCATTCTTAATGATGACCACACTTACTAAATATATAATGACAAAGACACACTTTTTTCTCTGTTTACAGTGTTAACATCTCTTCCATTGATTTTTTTTCTTAAAAAATAAGCTACTTTTCTGTGCTAATTTTCTAAAAACCCTGAGCAAAAGTTACAATAATGCACTTTAATGCGGGCAGTGAACTGTCAATATGTATCCACACATTAATAGAGACCAGGGGGGAAAAGAGGAAATTCCATTGAGACAGTCAATTCTAATAACAAATAATAAAATCTAAAATAAAAACAGAGATGCGTTAGAAGGGAAGTGAGTGGGAGGGCCTAAAATGAAAATTATTTGTGCAAAAGTTATTCTTCACAATCCGCTTAAACCAAGATCTTGACAGTCTCCCGTGTCTAATTTTTTTTAATTAGAATAATGGATACAAATGAACATTCACCACTGCCCAGACCATTCAGACTTTTAGCTTAAATAAAAATAAAAATAAACTTGCAAATGTAAACTAGGAAAGGTATTTCAAATCAGCAATGCATCCACAAGGCATCTGAGTTTGGCAGCTTAGAAGGGTTAAACCCAGCACTAATCTTAACTATAGAATACATACTAAAATGAATGGGACTGACTGTTAGTTAGCATTTACATATGTCTCATTGATTTCAGTGGATATACTCTAGCTGGGACAAATATTGAATTTAGCCCAGAGCTTTTCAGGTTTAAATTCCTATTTTCATAGGGCATTTTCTAATGTATTTCTCTTTTTATACATTGTTGTTGCAAAAAAATTAAAATTAAAATAAAATAAAATACAGAAGGCCTCAGCCAAAAACAACATTATACATACATTGCAGAATTAAGTCCCACTGTGCTCAGCGGGCCTTACTCCTCAGTAAGAAGGTGTAGGATTGTAGGTTTCAACCCTTTGACATAAATGGGCTTCGGCATACCCAGCTATGTGTTGATTGTAAATAGCACATCTGTCTGTGTACATGTTGGTGTGTTAACACACAAACACACATGTGCACACACAAACAAGATTTGCAAAGGGCACTATTCAGCAAAATTTATTATAATCATCATCCCACTGAAACTTATAGACTGGAACTTAAACACAATTAGATAATGTTCCATTGATTTTAACAGGACTTCCAATCCATTCAGCTGAATGCTTATTTAGAAGTAAGCTGTACTGAGTTAAAGCAGATTGACCAATATGTAAGCATATGACCGAAGCCTTGGCTGCAATTTATATTTGCTAGATTGTGCCTTTTGACATTAATATATTAAAATGCTTGACACCATTCCCATGGGCAAGAAAATCTGAAGCATGCTCAAAATAGCAACGGATAAAAGATTCTAGGATCAGCTTTTGGACATCTTAAAAAATTATATTTTGCTTATTTCCATCTTTCCCCTGATAATTATTTAAAATAGTAAAATTGCTTTAATTGTGGACACTCATATTTTAAAGCCAGAATTGTTTATGATTTTGCAAGGGACTTCTACCACACTCCACCAGATAAGCTCCAGCCAGTTTCACTAAGATCTAAAAGCATTTCATACATGATGGTTTGCGCTTTTTAATGGGGAGAAAATGACACTCCTCAAATAACTTCAGTTATTTTTCTGCAGTCCCCAAGCTACTTAACCAGAGTTAGCCCCATTTGTTTCAATGGAACTAACCCAAAGCCATTTTAATATTATTGGAGCTTGGTGTGAACCAATCTTATCCTCAGACAGCTAAAATGGGAAAGTTTTAGTCACTGGCACCCCAATTCTAAACACATTAGGTATGATCCAACCAAAGTTCAGCAATTTGAAGACTCTTATTTCTGTAGGAAAGAGAGGGACACATTTAGCTCTCCCACTGAAATCAGTGGGATTTCAGTGTTGGATTTAATCTGAAGTGTACCTATCATTTATTATGAATTCTGGTGAAAATCGGTAAATGAGCAAACCTAGATCTCATACATATTTAGAGTCTCCTACAGCTGAATGGGAATTATTCCTCTATACATGTGCCTAGGAGAAGAGAATTTGGATCTAGCATGGATGTATTAGAGTAGGGGATACACATGTTGTCATGGGACAACAATCTCTCTAAAGCAATTTTGAAGGCTTTGCTGATATGCACAGAACAGATGTTTCAACGCTTTAAATTTGGACTCACCACATTCAGGGCACAAGTTCTCCTTCTGTTCCTTAGCCCTACTATGCAAAACTCAATTCCAAACAGCTACCACTTTCCATGAATAAAAGCCATTTGGGGTTGTTGTTGTTGTTGTTGTTTTACACAGAGAAAATAAAAGGAAGGAAGAAAACTAAAATATCCCAACAGTGAAATGAGAACTTGAAGTCTGACACTTATGTCATCCTTTATATATAATATTTCAAGAGTTAAATACTGGCACTGATTTAAAATGGCCACAAATCACATCCATTAAAAGTGGGCAATCCCAAGAGATGGCTGCATTAGGCCAGAAGAGGGAATATCTAACATCATGGTGCAACAGATAGCCTTCCTCCTGAATCCAATACATCTATTTGGTCTACAGGTGAGTAACACCCACCTCTAGGATTCTTGGCATTCCTGTGGTTTCGGAAGTAATGATGCAGAATACTGCTTTATGCCGCATTTGCTCCGGATGCTTCATAAAACAATTTGTCTAAACCACTGGTTTTTAACCTTGGGTTACTCAGGAGTTTTGGACTGCAACTCCCAGAAGCCTTCACCACCAGCTGTCCTGACTGGGGTTTCTGGGAGTTGCAGTTCAAAAGCATCCAAGTAACAAAGGTTAAGAACCACTGGTCTAAACAGTTAGGAGATGGAGTGAGAACTTTCCCTGTGATAGTTTGGATCTCTAGACAGCTCTTGTCAATGAGAAGCTATATACGGCCAATGTCTTGTCCAGATTTGGGGTGTCTATTTTTCCCTTCAACCTGTGGGGCTTCCTGAGAATGTTACATCAGTCAAAGAGCTGCTGCCAAAAGAAAGAGCTGCCAGTTTTACAAGCCAGTCCCAATCAGACCCACAACATGGGGGCAAACCCGGAAGGTTCTGTGGGCTGCAAAACAAGTCACAAAATGAGAGAGCCACCATGGACTAAAGAAGAAGGCAGGATACTCTCAGCAGACACACACATTGCCATGACAGGCACACAGATGGAAGCATATACTCCAGACCTACAATTTTTATTACAGGAGTTACCTGAGTGCTCTCTTGCAATGATTTAGAGGCAGCTTTTAAGGCTGCAAGTGTAATCTAATTTAATAATTGTATGCCATCAAGTCAATTCTGACTTGTGGCCACCCTTTTCAAAATTCTCTAGGTAGGGAGTATTCAGAAGTGGTTTACCATTCTCTTCTTCCGGGGATATCCTAGGACTATGAAGTTTGCCCAAGGCCACACAAACTTGTGGGATGCACAGTGGAGAAGTGAACTCTCAACCTCTGTCTCCACAGCCAGATGCGTAACTCACTGAGCTATTCAGCCAGCTGTAATCTAATTTACAGAGACAGAAATTATGTTGCAGTATTAGAATTTTAATGTGGCAGAAGAATGCTATTGCTTCAAATGGGAGATTCTGAAGTGCTGAAAATGTCTATATGGCTCTCAGTGGGGCAACATTAAGATTTTTCTACTCAGGTATTAAAATGTCTTGGCCAGTTCTGCTCAGTGGGATCTTCTCACAGAAATATGTTCTTTAAGATTGAGGTGCCAATGATTTGAGGATAACAAACTGCAGTTTTACTTGGAAACATAGTTTTCTGAATTTCATGATAACCAATTCCCACCATCCCCAGATTCTGGAAATAAGGAACATACAATTTTAAGAGGCACTTAATAAAATTATTCAAAACTTTCCCTTTAGCTGGGCAGTGATTTTTTAAAAAAAATCCTGAAGACACCTGTAGCTTTATAATAAAATGCCATTACTGCAAACTCATTTGCCAAGCAGTTGCAGATGCTACACACCAAGCTGGTTTTCCCAAATATTTTGTGGGTTTCTTTGTGTGTGGTTTTTTTTTTTTTTTAAAAAGAAAAGTCTTGCAAATAATATTAATAATAATAATAATAATATAATGGACAAACAAGAAAAGTAAGAATAAGAAGAAAAGAGTACGAATATTTTTTTGTAAAGTCAAATGTTAGAAAAGATTTGTTAAGGTAGTTTGTGAGGGGCTCCCGGAATCGTGGCTGTCCAAGTTAGAGGTCACTGATGAGACTACAGTGATAGTGGGATTGGTCAGGTCTGTTAAAGTGGTCGCAGTGCCGGGTGGAGTGAGAGCGCCGCTGTCTGCTGAGGGCGGTGCCGGAAGCGACGTGCCATCAGCTTTATCAACACCCCCATTCTCCTGCCGCAAAAGGTTCCTTCTGAATTTGGCTCTTGCGTTTTGGAACCAAACCTGCAAACCAATCCCAATTGATGTTTTTACCAATGTTTGTTTTTGACTGATCCCTCTCTTTCTCTCTCTCAATCTCTCTTTCTCTCTCTCTCCCTCAGTCCCTCCCTTCTTCTTTCTATTTTGACGCATTTTAAAGTTGTTAGTTTACTTATGGGATTTGGAGGAGCTTCGGCAAAACACCCAATCCAGGAGTTGTCAGACTTTCTACCAGGGAGTTCTTTCAACACCACCTTGTCTTTTGAGGAACATTTACAGGCCTGCTGTGCAATCCCTGCATGTTGTAAAACATCCTAGGGCAAAATCAATTCACACAGGCTACTGACTGGACCTATTAAGCTACTTGGTTGCTCACCTGAACTAAGAATTCCACACTCAAATTAAATGGGAAAGATAAAGGGGGCCTTAATTAAACTCACCCACTTGTTCCCTGAATTTAGTCATCTATGATCTCCTGACTTTTAATTGTAGCATGTATAGGAAGGGTGGGTCCTCTGAAATTTGAACATGATGATAACAGACCCTCGAATAAAGAAACAAATGCAAAATTTTCCTACAGGTTAGAAAGAAAGGGATGGACAAGAAGTCTTTCAAGAAAGCTTGTTGACTATTATTGGTCTTGTCCATGTAGACCCCTAGGAAGTCTCTAAGAAACCCCAGAGTTCCCCATAATCTAGCTTGAATACCATTGATCTACATACACCATTTACATCATTTTTCTTTCATTTATGTTTTGTTCTGTTTTATAGTTTCTGATCAATTCATTTTTCTAGCACATAGTGACACATAGCCTAAAGAATTTTTTTCACCCATTCATTCTAGCAAATTTATTATCATTATTTTATAGGACAATCAGGTTGCTTTTGATTTTCTTTCATTTTTGCCACAACACTTAGGTAAAATGTGGGCAGGCTGAATTTTCTGCTTAGGGTAGTAAATTTACACAACAGTTTTGAAAATTGGAGAGTAAATGGAGAAGAAAAAACTCCACATCCCAATAAATGTAAGACTTTTCTCACATTATTTGTATGTGAATTATTAACATGGTAATGAAGTCACTACTCTCTGTTTGCAAAATTTCATTTAAACCTCTACTATGCATCTTTGCTGCTTCCATAGAGCTGGTGTATGGGAAGTTATGGATAATTTAAATGCCTGACCCTCTTGGTATCTGAGGACAGAATCTTGTATTCATTGGCTTTTTAAACAAATCACCATCAGTTCTCTTTTACGTTCTTTTTTACATGGTGATCATTTATTTCAATTGTATTGTTCAAAGGTCAGATCTGAGATATATCAGCCTATAGAGAATGATTCAAGCCCCCCAATTTACTACATGATCCAAAACAATGGAGTCTTTTTGCATGAAACTGGACAACTGTGTTAAACATGACAGATTAAACATGATTTTTACCTACAGATTCAACAGTTCTGTTTCTGGAGTGTATTACTTCAGAATTTAAATGGGAGGAATCAAGTCTGGATGTTCCCAATGTAAAGCAAAAAACCCTTCATGCATTGCAAAATTAAACCCATGATGTATCAAAGTGAGAAGACCAGGCTAGATCATCCTCCCTCAATTTAACTTTGTATAGCTACACAAGGAGTCTCCTGAGGCATTTTATTCTAAAGTAGTACAGTCCAGCAAAAGACATATCATGTTTGTTGCTGACCATGTACGGCTGCCCTAACTTTGTATTAATAGAGAGGCCTCTAAGGTTATGTTTGGCTAATAAAAATGGAAAACTTAAATCATGACCACATACCACATACTAGTAGGGAGGGGGATCACTATCTAGATTCCTCAGTGTTACAATGCATCTGTAGTAAATAAAAACTATTAGTTAACAATTTAATTAAAAGGGAAGCTATGCTGAAGCTACAGTTCTCCTGCCCTTATCAGAACAGAAAAGCATTCCTATGAAGGATTGGATGGTCCTTTAGGCCTGGAAGCTGTAGCCTTGCATAAGGATTCCCTCAGTGTATTTGGATCATACAATTTGAGCGTATCAGTGTTGAACATAACCATTTAGGTATCCACTGAATGACACAGCTGTATTAAATTAGTACAGGGGAACCTGTAGGAATGTGGTTTTCTTAAGAAAGGGTAAAGGGTTCAGGAGATTTGTAATTGACCGTCCTTACCTGCAGAACTCTCTTAGTTAGTCCTGTCTTCTGGGCAAGCTGCTTGAGGTCCTTGGCATCTGGGTTGTGGTTAATGGCAAAGTAGGACTTCATGGTACGGAGCTGGTGGTGCTTAAATGAAGTACGCATGCGCTTAGTCTTCTGAGATGGGGGATAAGGCTGCTGGTCTCTGTCCAGATGGTCTGCCTCATTCTCATTACAACCTGGTTGGGGAAAAAATAACACAAAACAGCTAAATAATTTGGCTATGAATGCTGACAAAAAAAAAACAGCATGCTGGTAAGCATTCATCCATTCATTGTTACAGGTAGAAAAGATGGTGAGACAGACTAACATTTTTTCTGCCATACAGAGATCACACATATACTACTGACATGAGTAGGTGCAATGCTCTTAATATACCATTTTAAGACAAGGTGACAGCCTGTTGGAAGTGCTCAAGAGACTATCTATACCTTACAGAGAATGAAATAGAATCCTAGACTGTACCTCTTTAGAGAGCAGGTGACCACCTTTTCTGATGCTCCTCCATGCTGTTGTTGCTTTTGAAAACTCTCCATGAATGTGATACACATATACATCAATCAGAATATATATATATACATAACTTCCTCCCTCTCCCTCTCCCTCTCCCTCTCTCTTTACTTTAATATATGTGGGGAACTTTTTACAAAAAGAAGCACCCAAAGGCATGGCAAGGACAGCAGTAGACATTTTGCTGCCTAAGAGAAAGGACAAGGTGGCAGATATATCTACCAGCCTGGCAAATGAACCTTGCTTCAGCCCTGGTGGCACAGTATTCTCTACTATATTTGAAACTAGCCAAGGGGACACAGGACAGGCTGTATGCCACATGCAGTTCTCCCCCTCCAACACCTCACTGCTGCTGCCAGCCCCACAATGTCTGCTGCCTGCAGGACTGCCTCGCTCCACCCGGTGGATGGGTATAAATGTACATCATTTGCATAATATCGAGTTTGAAATGGTCAGTCTGAAATTCTACCATTCAGCTTACTCCTTTATCATTCAACACTAGTTCTGAAAGGAAAACAGATTAGCTGGGAAGAGATGTTTAAACCGACATTCAGCAGGAGCCACAAGCGGTTCTTTTCTATTTAAAACATTTATTACGTTTTCTTGATCCGCATCTGCTAAGAAAGAAGATATTAGGAGAACAAGCCTGCCAGGATTCATTTCTTTCGTGTTATTTTTTAAAGACAAGTTTTTTTCCCTTGGGGAAAGAGAGAGCTTTACTGTGTGTTCCTAAGCAACCCCTATAAACTCTTGCTCATTACATTTTTTTTAACTTCACTATCAGCTAACTGCCACCCAAATCACATATGAAGCAACTGGCTTCTCCATGCAGTACTTTTAAGAGAGGGATAGCCCAGGATATTTTGCTGCTTGAGGCAGAGTGGCAAACAGTACCCTTAATCAACCCATATAAAGGTATGCTAAACATAAAACCAGCCATGTTATTTTGGCAAATGAGGCATGAATGAATGAACAAAGGCCTTTCCTCTTCCCTAATAGAAATAAAAATAATAATTATTGTTGTTATTAAATAATTTTATTTCATGACTCTCACAATCTGCTAATCTGAGATAGCCATCTCACTTTACCTAATCATACATTTGGCCTCAATAAAGATAGGGAATTAGTCTTTCCCCATCTGCCTCCTTTCTCATTCAATTCCCAAAAAGGAATGTCAGACCCATTTACTCTCACAATTTAGCTACACAAGGTACTGTCCTCGTCTGTGAATAGCAATTAACAGTGGCAGTTTCACAATCCTACAGACAACCCCTAACATTTCCCACCACCCCCATGATGAAGAACCCTAAGGGGCCTTATGACCACAGCAGGGGAGCTGCTTTTGTGTCAGAATTGGGGTTGATGCACTGTAGTTCCTAAGGTCTCTACTAGCAGGGGTGGTGGTGGAGGAAGCCTCTGTTTCAGTTCCAGCTTTAATGATCCCAGACTCCACTTAGTAGCCTCAAAAGTGGAGGGAAGGGATGTACCCACACCCAGTTTTGGCTGTTCCTCAACCTTATCTCCTAGAAGATGAAAACAGGCCCCCTTACTTTGTCCACTCCTGCCCTACACCAACCCAATCCTGTGACTCCTCCCTCTGTTCTCGGGAGACTTTCTGGGCTTCCTGTCAAGTGAGGCTTTGCTGCCATGACAACAGGATGCTCACTCACTTATGGCTCTGAAAGGCTACATAGCTTTTATAAAGAGCCCCTTTCATACTCCTGCCCAACCACAATGAGGTCCATGGACAGGAGCCCAAACATTACCGACATCTTTATGTAGCAATTAATACGTAAATTTAGCATTGTGCTGGAGGACCGCAGATATGGCTCCCTTGTTTCATGCACGTAAAAGGCCTGCAGTTCCTATAGTCATCCAAGTTCCCTGTGATCTTTTCACCTCATCCCTCTCTCCCCTCTACACACACCTGTCAAGATGTATAATACTCTGGGCTAACTCTGTGGCACCTGAAGCTGAAAGCCCACCAACACCCAACAGTAAACATAAAAAACATGTAAAATAACCAATCTTTGATGAGAGCAGGAATCTGCCTTCTCAGGGGGCCATCTCACTCTGAATGGTGGGCCCAGCTCTGAGGTGGCCGTCTGACATTGCCCAAGCAGCCACTCAGTTGCACTGGGCAATGGCAGATTCCCGAATGGGAGAGGATTTTTCAGGGAGTATGTGCGGAAAGGATGTAGTAACTTTGCTGTCCCTGAACTCAAGTACCTGAGGTGACTGCCTCAGTGAGGCTAACACTAAAACTGCATATCAGGCTTCTGTGGTTTATAAAGAAGGGTACTGAGATTTTACTTTAGGCTCACCACCACACTGGTGATGATAAATCATTAAGAACAGTGAAGCAGTTGTCGCAGGTGGCCAATACTAGGACCCAGCAGCCAGGTATTTGAGGAAAGGGAGACAAAGCCAGTTTTAGTGTTAGTCTCACTGAAGCAGTCACCTCAGGTACTTGAGTTCAGGGATAGCAAGGTTGCTACATCCTTTCTGCACATACTCCCTGAGATCTGCCATTGCCCAGTGCAACTGAGTGGCTGCTTGGGCAATGGCAGATGACCACCTTTGAAAACAGGTGGAAAGACTAGAAAATAGTGAATGGAGTCAGCAGGTGTATGTACATAACCTTCATATCACCTCTGATTTTCCACACACAGCAAAAAGAATGGTTACATCTATGCCTTTGCAAGGACACACTTTCTACTCAATGATTCTGTGTAAACCTGCTTTTGCACTCTAAACTTTGGAAATTCTGAGTTGGAACCCGGCTGTGGTAGATTGCCATTGTATAAAAAACCAGCCACCACATCATGGAACTTGCAAGAGCCTCGTCAAGGGGATTAAGTCTTTGGGAAAAGGAATATATTCCAGATCTTTGCCTCATGGGTTTTAAAGCTAACACTGACACTGCAGCTGTACTTGTGCAGTTCAAAATGAGCCAGTTACCCAGGGAAATAACAAATCTTCTAACACCCTGATCCTATTATGTGGAAAAAAATCCCTGTAGAGATCAACAGGACCCGATACCCGCCATGCGTTTAAGATTGGGGGGTAAACATGGGTGTTTTGGGGTGTTTCTTACTATTAAGCATGAAAAATTAGATTGCTTTTCAGGATCTATTTAACAAAGCCAGCTCAGTCATGTGGGAACACAGAAAGAGACTTCAGTGGCCCAGCTTATGTCACAGAGCAAACAATGAAAATTAAATTTAATTGAAATGATGGGTTCTAAAGGAATTAAATTAGTCCATATTTAAAGCATATGTTAGTGTGTGCATATCATCTGATTTCCACACAGAGAGACACCTTGGAATACTTCCCAACAGTTGGCTGGATTTATTTGCAAAGCTTGGCCATTTCCCACCCCTGAGAAAATGATGGAAAAGCATACATTATACTCTGTACATTACATCAGTCCATTGAGACAGAGATTTTACAGTTTATATATTAAAAAAAGAGGTAAAGCATCACACATCTGCATTCATCCTCTCTTTAAGAAAAAAATTGCACTGCCTTTTACATGTTGTTTTCACAACTACACTGTGAAAAGCCAAACAACAAATACTTCTTCAGTTGTTCTCTAAATCTGATCCCTTGTGCATTTTGAGTGGTCCCTAAACCTGTAATAAAAATAATTAAAGAAAATGTGAAATGGTCGGTTTCCATTACAGGAAGAGACAAGCCATCTTTCAGTATGAAAAACTGAAACTTCAAACTGCTTGCCTCTTCAGCAGCAGATGGGGAAAAAAACCTCTGAGGAATAATGGGTGAAAGAAACCAGATTCAAGAAATGGAAGCAACTGGGCAGGTGAACTTTGAGGTATGTATCTTCCTAAGTAATAGTCAGAAGATGGCCCATAAAAAGAAAGAGAGCCAGAATAATGGTTCCCTCAGTAGAAATTTGAAAAGCTGGTTCATGGATTTCCACACACACACCCCGGAGCAGCACTATGTCAGCAAATTACGAAAAAAGTTAATTGAGTAACTATAGCTAATCAGCTCAACAACAGTTTTTCTGAGCCTATTCAACAATATATATGTCCAGGATTGCAAAATTAATGTTTTGTCATTAATTTGTGTTAGAATTCTAGTATATTAAACGTGTGGGCATATTATGTCTCTTCACATTCACCCTGCCTGATAGATTAAATAACCTATTTAACAAATATGGTAAATGAAGGCTAGGGTTAGGTACATCAATAGTGGCTCTTTTCTCCACTCATGGATACAAACTACATTGTATGAATTGTTATATTGTGTTCCTCCTCCACCCACCCCATTTGCTTTTAATATTGTTTTCCCCCTGGAGTATACCCCAGTCAATTGAAAGCAAACCTACTATGGGGCCCTTGCTCCAACTCATCTAGTTACAGGTTATGTGATGTGCCTGATAATGTCTGTAACGCCATTACCTATATGCCACTTCCTCTGCACTGTATTACTTGAAAATATAATTGTGATCTGTATACCATCTAAGAGGAGAAATATGAATTATTCTGTTTTTTTTTTCTTTTTTAAAAAAACTGTTAAAATGTTGATCATGTGGATTGACAGATTTAATCTGCAGAATAGTGAACAGCTTTGGGAACCATGGTATGAATCCAATGTGACATGTTCACTGATTCAAAGAGTTGTGACCTATAACTATGGAACC